CTCCATAGAGATTATTAAATGATTCTAAACAAACCAAATTCCAATTAATTATTGTAAAGCAGAAAGTTGAGATGATTGATTTTATAACCTACTTAAATTAAAATGAATTTAATTAATAAAAATAAACTAATATGCAATAATAAAGCTGAGAGAAAAAGAAACAGTTTTTCAAATACCAATTTATAAACGCACTAGGGTTCCACCATCATCTAGCAATCCTATACATTTTTACCAATTACTTATGATCTACACATGCCACTTTGAAGGTTAGGTTTTCCTAATTTATATTCTACTTGGAACCTCCAACATAGAACATATATCTAACATGCAATCCGTCCGGACTTTTGGATCAAATCTGAACATGGAAGACTCATTATGCTTTATGGAAACCCTCTGAAAAACCATGCAAGACGTGGTGTTCATCTTAAGTGAAATTATAATTATTAACCACAAGAAGCCAGCCCCAATTTCAGGGAACCTTCCGACCAAAATTGCATCAAATTACATTTCTAAAGATCCTAATGATGATCAAGCATTAAGACAATTAGATAGTTTTAATCACAGTGTTTAATAATTCAAAGTGTGCATGCAATCAATCATAAGCAATTAAATAAAAATCACATATTCATGCTAAAACTCAAGGCTTCACCCTATCAAAAGGAATTAGGTGCACATATTCATAATTGAAGTCATAGAAAATATTATTAAGAATAAGAGGAATGAAAACACCTTAAAGTAGAAAATCTCCAAGAACCCTAGCAATTACTCTCTGTCTCCAAAGTTGCATAAAAGAAAGTGTGGACATCGAAATTTCGGTGAAATGAATGTTGACCAATAATTAAAATTTCAACGCTCACGTGTCACATAAATTTTACATGTAGCGTGTGACTCAACGAAAAATCGAAATAAATTGGAAAAGTCATCAAATAGGACACGTGTCATTACCTGGCAGAAATGATTTATTTCATCTGATTATTTAAATCCAAAAAATCGAGTTTTGGAATTCTATAAATAGGAAGCCAAGGCATTCATTTTGGAAAAAAAGAAGGAAATGAGGAAGAAGAGAAAGAAAGAAAAAAAAAGAAAAAGAAAAAGGAAGAAGAGAAAGAAAGAAGGGAATTCACATCACACCAAAACCTTGAAGCCTTGAAACTCTAAAGCTCTCAAGCAAATCTCGAAGGACCAAGAAAGCTATCTTCGTTCTTCGTCAAATCTTCCTTCAAAATCAAGCCCCGACGGCCCTTGAAGAGAAGTGCTCATCGTTCATCATCTGTTCATTATGCAAGATCAAGCCCCGACGGCCCTTGAAGAGAAGTGTTCATCATTCATCATCGTTCATCCTAAGATCAAGCCCCAACGGCCCTTTGGATCAACAACCTCAACAAATCCATACACCCATTCTTCAAGATCAACGCCCCTTGAAGATCCATTCATCAACTGTTCATCCCAAGCCCCGACGACCTTTTGGATCAACAGCTCATCCACAAACCCACACCCTACGAAGATAGAATCAGAGGATCAAATTACAAAGAGATTGTAACCCCAAAATCATTAACACAAAAAAATATATTTTGTACACGTATTCTTGTTTCTTGTTTCAGGAACTTTTCGTGTTTACAAATTTGGCACGCCCAGTGGGACAATCTCTACCTCTCATCTCTGTCTCCGTTCAAGATATTCAAGCACAGTCCATGGCTTCAAACAAAGAACAAGTCATGACTATCGGCACTACCTTCATTGAAAAACAGCTGGTTCAGATGAAGGAAACAATTGCAAGGCTGATAAAGACTGCAGAGGAGAAAAACTTGCAAACCGCCGAACTCATCAACCGTCTGGAGGCGCAACATGGTGTCATAGTGAAACCAAACTCTCTTCCAACTAAGAGGACCGAAGAAGGCTTCAACCCAAATGCCTACGAACTCATGTCAAAGGCTAGGCATGACTTTGCTTCCTCTTCAAATCTTGGAAAAAAGGTTTCGAACACCGTCAACGACGAAGATCGCGACCTCATCAAGACTCAAAAGAAGTTGAAGGAGCATGATTATGGAGTTGACAACAACAAAGCTGGACTTGGCTTCACACCAAATGCACCCGTGAAGATTTCAAGCAAAGTGAAGAAAGCTAGCGCTCAACACATCAGCGTGAGCATTGAACAAGACCAAGAAAAGCCTAAACCCTCCCCTCGGACGTCGGTCTTCAATAAGATGAGCCATTCAAGCTCCAGAACTTCAGTGCTTAATCGCATTGGTGGTCAAGACCGAACCTCTGTCTTCAAGAGGCTTAACGCGCCGACATCCCAAAGCTCTGTTTTTGAAAGGTTGTTAAAGCCTAAGAAACAAAGCAACACAACTATCTATCCTCTGCGACGATCAGCTTCAGAAAGATTTGAAGATAATGGTAAGCCTTTTGGAAAGAGGAAGACAACACCAAAGGAAGAAAAGCTCGATGGGTTAGGAGAAAAAGACGACGCTCGAAGCTTGATTCCTTCAAGGATGAAGCGCCAAGCAATCCTAGAGGTCGACACAAAAGGACCACTGAAGGTAAGGAGGCGCATCATCGTCCACACTGGCAAATATTCATGCCAACAAACCCAAGAGAACGGCACTGAAGAGGAGATCCAAGATGTTTTCTACATCACGGTTCAAGAAGGTAAAGAAGACGAAAGCCCGAGGAAATACTCAGAGTCCCTACTCTCCGACGCTGATCCGAGCGGCAGTACAACCATGCAAGTCATGACCACTGGAGCAACTTCAATCGAGGAGCAGCTAGCTCGGATGAATGAAGCAATCGCAAAGCTCACACGGACTGTGGAAGAGAAGGACTTGCAGATTGCCGCACTCGTCAACCAACTAGATGCGCTGCCCGACGTGAAAGTCGACCCAAATGTTGGCCTATTAAAGAAAGAAGTCGACGAAGAAGAGGAGCCACCAGCGGAGAAAGTTAAAGAGAAGCCGAAGCTAGACCAAGCAACGACATTCATGGGATCTCTCTCTATCCAGCAGCTACAAGAGATGATCGTAAACACTATCAAAACACAGTACGAAGGAAGCTCGCATGACTCCGTACTGTACTCAAAGCCTTACTCCAAGAAGATTGATGCTTTGAAGATGCCAAGGGGTTATCAGCCCCCAAAATTCATGCAGTTCAATGGAAAAGGCAACCCGAAGCAACATGTCGCCCATTTCATTGAAACTTGCAACAATGCTGGGACAGAGGGAGACTACCTCGTCAAACAGTTCGTGCGTTCGCTGAAAAGTAACGCTTTTGACTGGTACACTGACCTCGAACCTGAGTCTATCAACAGTTGGGACCAGCTAGAAAGGGAATTCCTCAACCGTTTCTACAGCACTCGTTGTACTGTAAGCATGCTAGAGCTGACCAGTACGAAACAGTGGAAAGATGAACCTGTCGCCGACTACAAGAATGACAAAGTTTTGGGGCCAAAGGTGGATAAGGCTGCGTGGAAACCCACCAAGGAAGCAATGACGGTCAACACAACTCCAGTCAAAATCCATACACGAGGCAAGGAGATTCAAACCGAAGCTTTTCGTGATCAAGAGATACGTAGACGCACTTTGAAGGAGCTTGAGGAGAAGACTTATCCATTCCCCGACTCTGACGTGGTTGCCATGTTAGATGACTTGCTGGAAAAAAAGGTGATCGACCTACCTGAGTGCAAATGGCCAGAAGATATGAACCGTATTGACAGTCCAAGGTACTGTAAATTCCACCGCTTCATTAGTCATCCGACGGAAAAGTGCTTTGTGCTAAAAGATCTCATCATGAAGTTGGCTCAGAAAGGGATCATCGAACTAGATCTTAATGATGTGGTGAAGTCAAACTATACCACCGTCACTTCTAGCTCTTTAAACTCAAAATCTTCACCTCAACCGCTGGGGGCATGCTCCAAAACCATGTCAGTCAAGTCAAGTGAAGTTGAAGGATGGACTTATGTCACTCCAAAGAAAATGCACAAGAAACATAGGTCTCTTCCACAAGTTCACCAATCGGAAAGGGGGCAAAGCAGCTACCGTCAACCTTCAAAGCTACATGAAAGTGTTGAGGATGATGAAGTTATGACACAAAGATCGTCCGTTGCCATCACGATGCGCGATTTCTTCCCCAAAGACTTCTTCAATCACTCAGTCAAGACTCCTTGCTATGAAGATTGCAAGGAATGCCTCTCTAAGATCGTTTGACAAATTCAAAACACTCCTGGTCTGCACGAGCATAAAAGGCGACATCAAAAGCTCTTTGTCTGCATGAGCTGAAACTGCAAACGACACCAAAAGCTCCTCGTTCGCACGAGCCTAAAAGATGGCACCAAAAGCTCTTTGTCTGCACGAGTTAAAATTGCAAACGACACCAAAAGCTCCTCGTTCGCACGAGCCTAAAAGGTGGCACCAAAAGCTCCTTGTCTGCACGAGTTAAAACTGCAAACGACACCAAAAGCTCCTGGCCCGCAAGAGCATAAACTGTGTACGGCAAAATCAAAATCATCATCAAACACCATCACTCATTTGAACTACGTTATGACTTGATCTCTTCTTTGGAAGAGTACGTAGGCAACTTGAAACTTCAAAACTTCAAGTACAGTCACATCAAAATAAATAAATAAATGTTTCATTAAAGAAAGTCAATTTTATTACAAAAGAAAAGAAAAGAAAAAAAAATACATATGTTACTATGTATTAGAAAAATATATATTCTCTATCCAAAAAAAAAAAAAAAAAAAAAAAAAAAGGGGCCGGCTCCAAAACTTTTTATTCCTCTTTCCAAAGCCAGCGAGCCCAGCTACAAATCCGGGCCCAGCTCTCAAAGCCCATCGTTACTCGACTCCAAGACTCCCAACTCAATCCATCTCCTCTCTCTCTTCATCCTTTTCTCTCTAGCCTCATCCATTTATACGCTCCAGTCCGTATGACTCACTCCCAGGACGATCCCGAGTTCCATCTCCTCTCCCACCTTTCACAATGCTCTGCTTCTCTACGGGCCAGAGTATGGAACGCCATGTCATCGCCGTCGTGCTTCTCCTTTTCGTCTTTTCATCTCTAGCAGATGCGGGCTCGGTGGGAGTGAACTATGGCAGAATCGCAGACAACTTGCCGTCGGCGTATAAGGTGGTGCAGCTTCTGAAATCCCAAGGCTTGGAGCGGGTGAAGGTCTTCGACTCCGACCCGGCGGTGCTTCGGGCCTTGTCAGGATCCGACATTAAAGTCACCGTCGACCTCCCCAACGAGCTCCTCTCAGCCGCTGCCAGGTCGCAGTCGTACGCCACCAACTGGGTCCAGCGAAATGTCGTCGCTTACCACCCCAACACCCACATCGAAGCCATCAGCGTCGGTAACGAGGTCTTCGTCGACACCCACGACACCACCAAGTTCCTCATCTCCGCCATGAAAAAAATCCAAGCCACCCGTCCGCAAGCAATGCGTTTCGCTCCTCACCCTGCTGTCTAACTCCCACGGCGACGCCCTTGCTCCCTTTTTGTCTAAGATGATCTCCACCGACGTCCGTCGTCTCTGCGACCTCGACTCCGTCGTCCGATCCGCTTGCGTGGAGGCAGTTTCCACCATGTCGTCCAAGATCACGACGCCGGCTTTTTCGTCGTCGTTCTTAAAACCATTGATGGATGCTCTGGCGACGGAGCAAGACTTGAACTCTCAGATCGGCTCGGCGCTGTGTCTGGCCGGCGCGATCGATTCCGCGCCTGACCCGGACCCAGTTCAGCTGAAGCGGAGCTTGCAGCGGCTCGGGAAGTTGGCGAAGAGCGAGAGTTTCAAGGCCAAGGCGGCGCTGCTGGTGCTTGTTGGGAGCATTGTTGGTGCAGGTGGCGCGTCTAGCCAAGGCACGTTGGACTGGCTTGTGCCCTGCGGGGTTGAGTTCTTGAGCAGCGAGGACTGGACAGTGAGGAAGGCCGCGGCCGAGGCGCTTGGGAAGGTGGCTACGATGGAGACAGATTTAGCGCCGTTTTATAAAGCTTCGTGCTTGAAAGCCTTGGAAAGTCGGAGATTTGATAAGGTGAAGGTAGTCCGGGAGACTATGAACCAGGCACTGGAGTTGTGGAAGGTTCTTCTTGCCGGCGATTCTGAAGAGATTCCTGCTCCAATTAAATCCAGATCTTCAACTGATAATGGGATTGGTCGAGGCTCTCCTCCGTCATTAAAAAGTTCCGATGATCCCGGTTTTAGGACTCCTCAACCAAAGAAAACAGTCCCCACAAACAGGTCCCCTCCATCAGATGCTTCTTTGGTGACCACAGCTAAAAAGGGAAATCCTTTAAGTAGAAGTGATAGAAACCCAGACACGGCTGTGCTCCATCCTCAAGATTTGGCTGCTTCTGCACTTCCACCATGGCTGCTGCCTTTGAATGTGATCAACAAAATCAAAGTTTGTCAACTCACACCCAAAGACCTCATCCGTCTTCTTGCCTCTGTTGCTGCCTTTGAATGTGATTGACAAAACCAAAGTTTGTCAACTCACACCCAAAGACTTTCTCCATCTCTTACCTCCTACTACTCCAAGCTCCTCTGCATTTCCTCCCTGCACCATGTGGGGAATATATATAAAAAAATATATCTATCTTGGTGGATCAGCACCACCGAAAGCAAAGAAAAAAAAATATAATAAAAAAAAGGATCTATCTTGGTGGATCAGCACCACCGAAAGCAAAGAAAAGAAAAAAAAAATAATAAAAAAAAAAGGATCTTGGTGCATTGGCACCATGTGAAAAAAAAAAATATATATATATATATATATATATGCGCTATATTTAGCACATTATGCTAAATAAAATAAAGTTTATTTATTGATATCTCTGATAGATTACAGATATGTGCTTACATATGAAAAAAAAAAAAAAAAAAAGAAATACAAAGATGGAGCTTTCACAAAGGATGTTCACGTGAAGCCCCATTATTTGGCAAAACTCTCGGAGCGGAAGGCATCGGAGCTAGATCATTCGAGGCCACAATACTTGGTGGAACGCTGGATGACCCAGGAAAAAGGTGCCTCTGGAGATAAGCAGCAAGCCTTTGACGGTCACTTTGAATCCGACCTTCAGATTCTTGCAGCTCATCAAGCTTCCTCTTCATGCCTGTCGAATAGTTGTTGGCAAGCACGTGCAAACTTCTATTCTCGTACTTAAGCTGTTTGATCTCCTGCTTAAGATTTTCCACCTCTGCCATCAACGATTCAACCTGACGGGAGCGAGCAAGTAGGCGTTGGCCCATGTTGGACACAGAGCCCGCACACTGAACACTGAGAGCCAGGGACTCTTGAACGGCCAACTCATCGGACCGTCCTGAAAGCAGCCTACTATCTTTAGGAGTGATGAGGTTCCTAGCTACTATCGTAGCTGTTGTTGCATCAATCATCATGGAGTCTTCACCTGTAAGAGGACCATTAGAAGATAAGAAAGACGGGCACCATACCTTAGCCTGACGCAGTGTAACCGGATCACTGCTGAGACTCAAATCTAAACAAATGTTCGATGGGTTAGCCATTTTCAAAGGCGTTAAAAGAAAAGGATGGATGGAGTTAAATCTCAAAGGGCCGGAGACGATTTTCACAAATGGGCAATCTTCAGAGTGTGCATGTTAGAGGTGATCGATACCTCTATAAAAAGCCAAGGCGACACGACCACCGATTAAAAAAAAAAAAAAAATCTGATTTTCCTGCGTAAAGTTCGGCGACGCTTTCGCGGCTTTTCAGATAACGTGTTCAACTTTGTCAAAAGATCTCTGACAAAGTTGAAAACACGTGAAGGTTATCATCCCAACTACGCGCCTTTGCCAACAAGCGTGGTGACAGAGCCGCACCCGTGACTACTTTTTCGAAGAGGCGCTCGCTCAGAAATCGAAGTGGCGCTCGTTCAGAAATCGAAGAGGCGTCGTTCAGAAATCAAAGAGGCGTCGTTCAGATATCGAAAAGACGTTTGTCGACAAGGGTAAAAGAACAGTACCACCACTTGCTATTGAGAAATCCCTATATATGTCGACCTTCATCTTTTATGGCAAGGCAGACCTGCAAAAAAATGCCCAATTCTTCCTCACCTCTGAGGGCGCACTCCCAGCAAAGCCTTTCGAAATACTCAATTTTTTCTTCTTCCCCAAAGAAGATACCAGATCCCTGGAGTACAGATGAGGCAGGAGGAGATGGTAGATCGAAGCATGTGGAGACAAGCACAACAAATATATGTGCTGATTCATTCGCCGCTTCTTCCAAAGCAAAGGTATCTCATATCATCAAGGGCGAAAGCAAAGGTATCTCATATCATGCTTTTTCCCTATCTTTTCCTTTGCCCTTGTTCTCACCTGCCAGGACAAGGACAGAGAAAGCAATATGTCGGAACCTCCACTCAAACTTGCGCTGCCACCAAGAAGTGATGGTCCATTCAAATGCAAGGTTTGCATTCAACTCCTGCATCAGAGGACAAATACTACAAGAGAAGATGCCAAACCTGCATAAGGAAATACCACTTCTGCAAAGGGAGCAAGAAAGGCAAGTGAAAATGATACATCGAAGCATGTGGAGACAAGCACAACAAATATTTGTGCTGATTCATTCGCTGCTTCTTTGAAAGCAAAGGTATCTCATATCATGCTTTTTCCCTGTCTTTTTCTTTGTCCTTGTTCTTACTCGCATGGCAAAGTGAAAGAAGCAATCAGCCGGCACTTGGAGTCAGTCTTCCGATTTGGAACCGACTGCCTGAAATCTATTCCCTGGTTGCTTACCTAGCGTTGCTCTCGAGTAGTCATCTTCAACGGTTGATACACTTCCAGAGAAGGGACCACTTCTGCAAAGGGGAGCAAGTAAGGCAAGTGAAAATGATACATTGAGGCATGTGGAGACAAGCAACAACTGCATATGCTGAGCTATCCTCTAACCCTCTTCAATACGAATTGGAGAGATTGAACAAAGAAACAGATAAAAGGAGTGAGCTCAGACCTTCGGGGGAGACCAAAAAAATCTTGCTGCCCAGTTCAAGAGTAGCACAAAGGAAAATCAACGATTGGAGGAAACCAGAAAATCTTCCAGTCGAACTCAATGATAGGAGCATATTCATGTGACTTAAATGGCTTGTTCTCGTGCATTTACGTTATGTTTCTTTAGTTATTTTAGTACTTTAAGCTATTTTCGTGTGTTTGTAGGTCCAAAGGGCTAAAGGAGCAAAAAGATGCATTTTGGAGACTTTTGGAGCACTTTTGGGCTAAGGATGGATAGCTTATGCTTGGAGCCAAAGTGTTGAACGAAATTGAAGACCTAATTGAAGACCAAAGTGTTGGAACCTTGTTCCCTTTAGTTTTAGGACATTTAAACCATTTCAGAAACTCCACAATCCCATTCATCAACACATGCATCCACATGCATTCACCCTTTAAACCATTAAATCCACATGCTTTCCTATTCAATTAAATCAGCCACATGCATTCATCATCATAACCTAGCTGTCATTCCACTTCATTGCACATGCATCTTCAAATAAATCAGATTTCCATCATATTCACATGCATTCCATCCTTTAAAACATTGCACATGCACTCCCTTTAATTAATTAAGCCACATGCACTCCCATCCATTTCATCATTGCAGCCAACACATGCTTTCACATGCATTTTCAGATTGTCCCCTTGCACATGCAGCCACATATTCATTGCACATGCAATTCCAACCCACATGCATCCTTTAATCATTCAAACATGCAGCCACATTCCCTCCTAGCTGTCATGTTCCCCCCATTTCACCTATAAATAAGCATCCATTGCATTCATTCTCATTCACTCTCCATTTTCAGAATGTAGACCATAACACCACCCTTGCGTGACTCTCCCTTACAATCCAAACACCATCCTTCCATTTTCACCACTCCCCAAACCATTCACACCATCAAACTATCCTTAGACCTTGTGCTACAATGAAGAGGAAGAGAAGAGTGCCTAAACGTTCATACAATTCAAGTTTGAGTTGTTGGAATGTTTAGGTGTTTCTTTGATTTCAATGTTAATTTCAATACTCTTTGTTTTGTACGTATGAGGAATGGAAGAGAAGAGTGCCTAAACGTTCATACAATTCAAGTTTGAGTTGTTGGAATGTTTAGGTGTTTCTTTGATTTCAAAGTTATGAGGAAATTCGAAATATATGTTTATGCTTGCATTTTGATTTGATTACTTCTAATTGCGTTTCATAAGTTGTGATTCAATTTGTTTAACCGTTTGATTGATAACTTATTTATGTATGTTTATTGAGAGTGCACGCTTAATTTTCATGCATGAATATGACGCTAGAATATAAGTGAGTTTCACCTAATAGTTACGAACTTATATTCACAAGTAGTGGAGGTTGCTTATAAACAATCGCGTTAAACGAATTCTTGGCATAAGTTTCATGCGTATTCCATAGTAACGAATGCCTCGTCAACACTTATAATTTTCATAGAGCGTAATGATTCTTGCTTGTATCTCTATTATGCAATCATGTAGGGGACTTGTGGGGAATGTTTTGAATTGTTGTATGCGCTAACCCATCCAATTCAATAACGTTAGGAAGATTTGAAGGTTAATTAGTGCATCACGGTTAACTTGGGGTGTTGAGAATTCATGGTTTATTGAAATGCAATTGGAAATCATTTTATTATGCAAGTGTAACATGTGTGGAGAAGAACCTTCTAGCTAGCATTCATCCATTCATTTTCATCGCATTCATATTTACATTCTGTCTAGTTTATTAAACTTGTTTCGTTATTTCAATTTTCGTCAAATTAAAATCCCCCTTTACTTTATTGTCTAATTTAGTTAGAAAGTGTCTTAGTTTGTGTTTATAAGAGTTTTGAGTCATTTTGTTACACAAATTCGTCCAAATTTGTGTTTGTGCTCAAATCTGCCCAGAAAGTGGTTTTTAGGCAGATTTGAGTGTGTTTGTGTTGTTTTGAGTCTTTTGGTTTGTTTTAGTGTTTTAAAGTTTAGTTTTGCATTCTTTGAGTCTAGTATAGTGTTTTATATTGTTATTTTACGTTTGAATCAAGCCATAATCTTAAATTCGTCCAACATTGGGTTTAAGGTCAGAAACTGCCTAGTTAGTGTTTTTAGGCAGTGTTGAGTCTTTTGAACTTGTTTTGAGTCCTTTGAGTCTTTGTGAACGTTTTTAACTTTGTTTTTATGTTTTTGAGTCAAATCCAAGTGATTAACAATCCCTCCTAATCCCCGGTCCAGAACGATCCCTACTTGCACCTATACTACAATTGATAAAAAGAGGGTTTAATTTGTGTGCGTATAAATCTCGCATCACTCAAGATCAAGCCTCGATGGCCCTTGAAGAAATCTCCAGCCCAGTTCAAGGTTAAGCCTGTGGAAAATCAACGATTGGGGGAAACC